AAAAAAATTGTTAACCAATACTGTGAACAACTATATGCCAACAAGCTGGACAATGTAGATGAAATGGAAAAATTCCTAGAAAAACACAAGCTCACAAAACTGAATCAGGAAAAATCAGAAAACCTGAATAGGCCAATAACAACTGATGAAATTGAAGCAGTAATAAAAATAAACTCCAAGCAAGCAAAAGCTCTTATCCAGATGGCTTCACAGGTGATTTTATCAAACATTCAAAGAAGAAATTAATACCTATATTCTTCAAACTATTCCAAAAAATCCAAGAGGGGGGATTAAAAATGGTACCAGAATAAGTGGAAGCCCCCAAACATGCTCCCAGGACTAAACTAGAATTACACCTAAAATACATATGAACCATCCTGAGGATTAGCTGGAGAGAACCCTGATAACCAGGGATGGAAAGTGGAGACCATATAGTCACTGTAGGAAGGGTGGAGTTGTGGAAGGGCAGTGGGGCTCCCACAGACAGCAGCTGAAGTTAAGGAGAGATATCTCAGCTGTGGGAGGTTGCCACTGGTGTCTAATTACCAAGCTGGGCCCCCCAGCAGAGAGCACATAACATCTGGCTGTGAAAAACATCAGGGTTTGGTGTCTGCCAGGGAGAGATGGCTAAGAATGCAGGCACACAATTAAAGGGCCTACACACAACATTTTGAGTGCAGCTCACTTTGGGCTCTGGCAGAGGTAGGGCAGAGTGGGCTGGAACTCTATAAACATAAGCCAGGTTTGAGGGATCTCGAGTTAAAACTCAGAAGGCAGAAATCCTTGTTTCCTATGCTGAGTCATTCCTTTCTCAGGCAGACCTCTGGTATCCTGTAGCTTTTGCCTGGGGTGGGGGGGCTAGGGGAGAAGACAGTTGACCACCCTATTGGAAAATCCCTTACCCCACGCTGTGGAGTTTCTGAGGCCCATTAAGACACCAAAAATAACAATCAACCTCCAGGCAGAAGCAATTGCCCTGTTGGAAAACCTCTCACCCACCTGTAGATGTTTGCTTGAGGCTACTCCAGACCGAATCCAATCAGTCTGCAGGCAAAGGTGGGTCTCTGTAGGATTTTAGTTTTTGCCTGGTCTAATTAGTCAGAAATAGAAATTCGATTCCCCATTGCAGACACCATCCCAGACTGCTCAGCAAGGTAAAAGCAAGCAGGACCCAAAATACCTGCAACTGACACCTGTGGGACCAGTTCTGTAGGGTAAAGAAGTACAGCTCAGAACAGGGTCAATCAAGGTGTAAGATTCAAGGGAGACCAATCTTCTGGGCTAAGGAGTCCCCAATTATTAGATGGCTGGCAAGATGACAATGGAATTAAACCTCAATGGCAGCAAGTAAAAAGGAAGATCTCGCCCACAGATGGGATATCCACAATCAAGTCCCAAGTATAACAGAGAGCTCAAACAATGCACTCAAGGGTCATTTCTAGAGCATCCAGCTCAGTTGAACAATGATACTACACCACTGCACCCCTCAAGACACTTTCTACATAAGGCTATCCCACAACGACTGGGAGGCAGAGCAATACTATCTAATACCAAGAAGCAAATAAACATAACAACATAAATGTAACAACATGCACATGACAAGAATACCAGAGGGGAAGAGAGTGAGCAAGGAACAGATAATCCTTTTAAAGAAATAATAACAGCCCTTGCTGGTTTGGGTCAGTGGGTAGAGTGCCGGCCTACAGATTGTAGGGCCCGTTGGTTTAATTCCAGTCAAGGGCACATGCCTGGATTGTGGGCTCAATCCCCAGTAGGGGGAGTACAGGAGGCAGCCAATCAATAATTCTTCTCATCCTTGATATTTCTATCTCTCCCTCTTCTCTGAAATCAACAAAAATATATATTTTTAAAATTTAATAAAATAAAGAAATAATGATAGAAAACATCCCCAACCTAGTGAAGAAAAATGTCACACAAGTTCAGGAGGCATAGAAAGTCCCAATCAGGATGATGCATATAGATGCATCATAATTAAAATGGCAAATGTTAATAGCATGCTATTAAACAATGATTGGGTTACCACAGAGATCAAAGAAGAAATTAAAAACATCCTGTAAATAAATGACAATGAAAACAAACAATCCAAAATCTATGGACACAATGAAGCAGTCCTGAGAGGGAAGTTTCATAGCTCTACAGGCCGAAAAGAAAAGAAAAGAAAAAGAAAAAGAAAAAATGGTAGTAAATCATCTAACTTAAAGAATTAAAAAGAGCTGAAACCGGTTTGGCTCAGTGGATAGAGCGTCGGCCTGTGGACCGAAAGGTCCCAGGTTCGATTCCAGTTAGGGGCATGTACCTTGTTTGCAGGCACATCCCCGGTAGGGGGTGTGAAGGAGGCAGCTGATCGATGATTCTTATCGGTGTTTCTAACTCTCTATCCCTCTCTCTTCCTCTCTGTAAAAAATCAATAAAATATATATTAAAAAAAAATAATTAGAAAGAAAGCCACAAGAAAAACACAGAGTGAGCAGAAGGAAGGAGATAATAAAGATCAGAGCAGAAATAAACGATGTAGAGACAAAAAAAAAAAAAAAAAAAAATCAATGAAACTAAAAGCTGGTTCTTTGAAAGGATAAACAAGATTGATGAACCTCTAGCCAGCTCACCAAGAAGCAAAGAGAGAGCACCCAAATATACAGTAACAGAAATGAAAGAGGCGAAATAACAACAGACCCCACAGAAATACAAAGGATTGTTACAAAATACTATGAACAACTCTATTCCAACAAACTTGACAATCTGAAGGAAATGGACATATTCCTAGAAAAATACAACCTTCCAAAACTCAATCAGGAAGAATCTAAAAATCTCAATAGGCTGATAACTATGAAAGAAATTGAAGCAGTCATCAAAAAGCCTCCAGCAAACAAAGCCCGGGGCCAGACAGGGGAGTTTTACCAAATATTCAAGGAAGAACCAAAACCTTAGACTATTCCAAAAAAAGTCTTCAGACTATTCCAAAAATTCAAGAGGAAAGCACACTTCCAAGTTCATTCTATGAAGCCGGCATTACCCTAATATCAAAACCAGAAAAAGACAACTCAATGAAAGTGAATTACAGGCCAATATCCCTCATGAACATAGATGCCAAAATCCTCAACAAAATTCTAGCAAATTGGATCCAGCAGAACATTAGAGAGATCATACACCATGACCAAGTAGGATTTATTCTGGAAATGCAAGGATGGTTCAATATTCGCAAATCAATAAACATGATATGTCACATAAACAAACTGAGAGATAAAAATCACATAGTCATATCAATTGATGCATAAAAAGCATTTGACAAAAGCCAACACCCTTTCTTGATTAAAACCCTCAGCAAGGTGGGAATAGAAGGATCATACCTCAACATAATAAAAGCCATATATGACAAACCCAGAGCCAACATCATACTCAATGGACAAAAACTAAAACCATTTCTCCTAAGAACAGGAACAAGTCAGGGATACACACTCTCACCACTCCTGTTTGACATAACACTGGAAGTATTAGCCATTGTGATCAGACAAGAAGAAATAAAAGGCATCCAAATTGGAAAAGAAGTAAAGCTGTCCTTATCTGCAGATGACATGATATTGTACATAAAAAACCCAAAAGATTCCATAAAAAAAACTAACAGACTTAATAAATGAATTCGGCAATGTAGCAGGATACAAAATGAATGCCAAGAAATCTATGGCATTTCTATACACCATTAGTGAACTTACAGAAAGAGAGACTAAAAAGAGCAATCCCATTTGCCATCACACCAAAAAATTAAGATAGCTAGGAATAAACTTAACTAAAGAGGTAAAAGACCTGTATTTGGAAAATTACAGGACACTGGAAAAAGAGATAGAGGAAGAAGTAAACAGATGGAAGAATATACTGTGTTCATGGATTGGTAGATTCAACATCATTAAAATGTCCATACTACCCAATCTACAGATTCAGTGCAATCTCCATTAAAATACCAATGGCATATTTCACAGACCTATCTCTCTCTCCCTCTTTCTGCCTCTTTGAAATCAATAAAAAAATATATTTTAAAAAGAACATTAACAATTTACTCATCAGAAAAAGGTGTTTTATAACCTCAAAAGAAATGCTTACCCACCAAAAGCTGTAAATCACTTAAGTTGGATATTGGTTGGGGATTTTTAGTAGTAAATAACATAATTCCTAAACCCTTCAGTTATAGAATATTCAAGGCATATAAAAGTGTTGCTTTTCTACACTGCAATAGCTGAAATGTAGTTTAACTAATGGCTTTGTAAGATAGTCAAACACCAAAGCTGCAAATGATTCAGGGAGTCATGACAAGTATTTTCCACATATTTGAAAATGTTTCAGCAGGTATTGATCTTTTGTTTTTATTTTCAAATTATTACTGCTGTAATTTATGTAATTTATGAGCCTGCCACCTAAAAAGCATGAAGCGTTAATGTCCGAACAAATGAGCGTTTTCTTTAAATATGACACGTGCAATTTAAGTATGTTTCCTTTCATTTATTCACAGGATATGAGGTTTATTTGACATAATTGCTTGCACTTACAATTTAGTTATCATGAAGTAGGAATTCCCCAACCCTGTGACACTCACAGCCGTAAAAATACAAGTTGAGAGATTTTAGTCCTTTGCTTTCCCCGTTGACAGAGACACGGAAGGATCATTTTCTCGGAGTTTAGGAGAAAGGAGAAACTGCCCCCTCTCGTCCTTGGAAGTCATTTAAAGTCTGTAATGTCTCTGAGCAGCGGCGCCTAAGACGAGGGAGTCATCCGCGGGGGAATCCTCCAGGACCTGGGCCCGCTTCCCCGGTGGCCGGCGCGGTCCTGAGCTCGGTCACCGGCGACGCCTTTCCCGCGAGCACGTCCGTCCCCTGCGGGCGCGGCTGGCCCCGCGGAGCCGCACACCGGCGGGGGCGGCGCCACCTCCGCCGCGGCCCCTCCTCAGCCCGGCCCAGTCCGGCCCGCGGTCCCGGCAGCGGCGGCGTGCGGATCCCACAGCATCCCGGGGACATGGGGGCCCTGGTGAGTACGCGCCGCCGGGGAGGCTCCCCGCGCCGGTTCGCCCCGGACCCCGCTCGCCGGACGTCGAGGAGGGGCCGCGGGATCCGCCCGGGCAGGGCAGGGCCGGGCAGGGATGCGGCCGCGGCGGAGGCGACGGCGCGGGCCGCTCACAGGCACTCGCAGCCCGCGGCGCAGCAGCCCGGCCGGCACACGCACACGCGCACGCCGCACGCGCCCCCGCGGCGGGCTCCGGGGGCGGCACGGGGGGCGCGGGGGGCACGGGGGGCGCGGGGCGGCGGCGGCGGCGGCGGCGCGGGGCGCGCGGGGCGCGGGGCGGGGCCGCGGGGCGCGCGGGGGCCGGTGTGCTCGGCGCCCATCCTCGGGCGCGGAGCGGCTGAGCGGCCTGTCCCGCAGGTCCGGACGCTGGCGGCCGGCGCGCTGCTGGCGATGCTGCTGTGGCCGGGCCGGGCGGGCGCCCCGAGGAGCGGCCGGCGGCCGGCGCGGGGCTGCGCGGACCGGCCCGAGGAGCTCCTGGAGCAGCTGTACGGGCGCCTGGCGGCCGGCGTGCTCGGCGCCTTCCAGCACACGCTGCAGCCCGGCCCGCGCGAGCAGGCGCGCAACGCCAGCTGCCCGGGGGGCCGGCCCGACCGCCGCTTCCGGCCGCCCACCCCGCTCCGCAGCGTGTCGCCCTGGGCCTACAGGTGAGCGGGAGCCGGGGCGGGCGGAGACTGGGGGACGGGCAGCGGGGGTGAGAGGTGGGGGGGGGGGGGGGGGTGGAAGGGCGAGGCAGGGAGATGTGGGTACGGGGATGGGCGGGTGAAACGGGCGCATGCTGCGGTGGGGAAAGCGAAGTGGGTAGGTGTCCCAGGACAGGTGGTGCGACTGGGTCGGGAGCAATTCAGTCCCACAAAGGCCCGCCACCTCCCTTGAAGAGACCCTGCTGCTCTGTACAGCTAGGCGCCACGTGATGTCTGGGTGGGAAGTATATAGGACATTGGTTCCGTACATTATAACGGAGCGATGATGCCACCGACCTATTGCCTAATGAGTCATAGCTCTCATAATAGTCTTGAGGCTTCTCAGCACAGAAGCTGCTCCCTTTGCATTTTCTATGGCCAATGCGGACCTCTCCAGGCCACAGGTGCTTCCCAAAGTGGCTGAGGGCCTGAGGGCCAGCAGGGAGGAGAGTATAACACAGGATAGTAGCGGTAGTTTGTAAAGACCCGTTGGGCACAGCTCCCAGTACAATTGGATCTCAGTCCTATACGAAAATAAATTCTAGCCGAAACCGGTTTGGCTCAGTGGTAGAGCGTCGGTCTGCGGACTGAAAAGTCCTGGGTTTGATTCCGGTCAAGGGCATGTACCTTAGTTGCGGACACATCCCCGGTAAGGGGTGTGCAAGAGGCAACTGGTCGATGTTTCTCTCTCATGGACGTTTTTATCGATAGCTCTCTATCCTTCTCTCTTCCTCTCTGTAAAAAATCAATAAAATATATTAAAAAAAAAAAGAAAATAAATTCTAATGCAAAAAGTAAAACCACAAAAACAGATAAAAGCACGTTCAGTTATATTTATAATCTTGGAGGAGAGAAGGCCTACTTTGTAGACTCCAAATCATAAGAAACAAGATTCATCAATTCACTTATATAAATATACCCCATTTATTCTTGGCAAAATTTAATTTTAAAAAGAAAAATACAAGGGCAAAGAGGGAGAAATAACTGCGGCCCATGTCACTAAGGGGTCCTTCCCTAAAGAGCTGCTCCAAACCAGTTAAAGGAAGGCCTGGGGACACGCTGAGCAGGGCCGTGGACAGCCCCCAGAAAGGAGGTCAAATGTCTCGGCACTGGCAACATGAAGAGATGCTGGACTTCAGGCACAATGAGTGAAATGCATGTTAAAACTGTACTGAAAACTTTTTTTTTTCCAACCATCAGGCTCTGTTGTCAAGGCTTCAGGGAAAGGTGTCTTGTGCAGTAGAGGGTGTGCACTGATACAAAGTTGATGGAGGGCAGTTGAGTATTAATAAAATCACATGCTCTTCAACCCAACAGTTCCACTTGGAATTCTACACTTGTCCGTGTTACAGGTGGTGTTTACTGTGGTAATAGCAAGGGATTGGAGTGTCCACCAGTAGGTAACTAGTTTGATTAATGCTCTAAAGGTGCTATAGAGGGAAGGGGGCTGGTCTAAAAGTGCCTCAGTGGAGAATCTATCATCAGCATCAGAGAGGCAGGCAAGGCGCACAGTATAAGCAGTCCTCTGCCTGTGGCAGTAAAGAGAGAAGCAGTTACATAACAGACATATGTTAAGTGCTATTTTAAACACCCCTTCCCCCCCCCCCCCCCCCCCACACACACACACTGGGGCATCTTTGGAATCTGGCTATCATGATGCCTCTCAAGAGGGGATAAGGCCACCGTGGGAAGGAGACTTACAAGACTTTCACTTTTGTTTTGACTATTTCCTGCCTTGTGCATCCATTCCTTATTTTAAAATCATCTTAATTTTTAAATAGAGGCTAGAAAGGGAAGCTCAGTAACCATGAGGACACAGCAGATACTAAAGAAACGAAGCTCCTCAGGTAGCAATGGCCCTTGGTTTCCTGAGAGCACAGGAGTGAAGGACAACTCGGTAGCTTTCCCAGAGCTCCTTGCGACCCAGCGCTGGGCTGACCACCGATGAAGAACTCGGCTTGGAGAGCATGAAGAATTGGGCCATGCCCCGGCTGGTTTGGCGCAGTGGACAGAGCATCAGGTTGCAGACTGAAGGGTCTCAGGTCTGATTCTGGCCAAGGGCACAGGCCTGGGTTGCCGGCTTTATCCCCAGCAGGGGGCGTGCAGGAGGCAGCCAATCAGTGATTCTCTCTCATCATTGATGTTTCTATCTTTCTTTTCCTCTCCCTTACTCTCTGAAATCAATAAAAAAAATCAATAAAAAGTAATAATTGGGCCAGGATCAGACAGTAAATGGACTTTGTGATTCCATCAGAGGATATCCCATGCTGCTGACCAATGTATTATTAGAAAATCAACATTCAACCTCCAAAATATAAAAATATTTTCTCATTTACTTTGTGGCATCATGTTTGTTTCTCTTGAGCTCTAAAAACAAAAATGCCAAAAACAGAATCAATACGTTCTTTTTAAGCTAAATTGACATAGTCAGAAATATATTGTAAGAACAGTGAGGTTTATGAAGATTGAAAGATACACTCACTTGTGTGGAAACCCTAAATATAAACACTTCCTAGTACTCTGAATAGTTTTTATTGTTTATATTTTTAAGTTCTGGGTAGTAACCTAAAGATAGCTTTACTCTAGGAAATGAATAGTGCACAGCCATTTATTTTCAGACTTTGTTGCTTTCTCACAGCCCTTTTCCTGCAGGGAACGTAAGAGGCTACACCCAAATTTATTTTTTAGTCAACAGTTCCATGGAGAGCAGTAACAGCAAAGAAATAAAAGGAAAGAAACAGGACCAGGAGTGAAGGAGGAGGACAGGGAATGGGAAGTCTTAAAAACGGGACCATCAGGGCAGCCCAGGCGCTGGGGGGGCCATGCGTAAACATCAGTGAAGCTGATGTCTTTCTGTGGAAAGTCTGTGATGACCCACATCCTGAGTGGTTCAGGGTTGGGCTCTGGTGAAGGGCCAACCCCAAATGACAGAGATGAGACGAGAAATAATAATTTGGAAATTGGGGGGCCAGGTGGGAGCCCAGTGCAAGAGGAAGGATTCCACTTGTGCTGTCTCTGCCATCCATTTATTCAGTTTAAGATCCATTGTCTGGACTAAACAGATGGTGCAGCTCTGACCTTGCCAGGGCTCACAGTTCAGCATTCCAGGCTCCTGTCCACACCGCTCTGCCAGTGAAGACAATGGGCAGCATCCAACATGTCCCCCTTCTCTTTTCCTTCATAAATCTTGAAAATTGAATGCCGCCTAAAGGGTTTGAGTCCTTTTTAAGACTCTTCATTCCTCATCTGCAGACTAGAAATAAACATATGAGAACAAAAATGAGACAAGCAGTAGTGGTTATGCTGAGATGCAAATGCAAGAATACCCTTGCTCTAGGCTGCGGACTTTATCACCCATCCACAGGACTGTAGACTTGAATGCCAACAATTCAATTTCAAACTGGCTCTCAGTTCTTTTTTGTATAGACAAGGTCTTAGTTACATTTTCCTTAACTTGTACAAACTGAGAAGTTTGAACAGTTTGTAGCATGGATGAAGCAGCAATGCCCACATAAATAAGTAACATTATAAGGGCAAAAATTCCTGCAATTAACATTCCAAGAAATCATTTTTGTCTTTTTAAGATTTTTACCAGGTCATGTAACAGTTGGTAGGTTTGATGAGATTCCCAAGGCTCAGTTAGGTTAGTAGGAACCCAAGCAGAAGCCAGTTGTTTTAAAATCACGAGGGAATCCTTTTGGAATGTAGAATTAATACAGTGGGATAGTGTGCAGCCTGTGCATGACGCCTCATACAGATGGCTTGTAGCATTAAGGCACATCTGGATGGAACCTGAGAGGAGTACAGAAGGATCAAACACACAGGAGGTGGCAAATACCGTCTCATTGGGAGTTCCTCATAAGTACAAATGGAATTATCTGAGCTATAATTAAAACTATGCCATTTAGCAGGTGCAAGTGCAGCAGCTAATTTCCATTGCGTGTTTTGTAGGGGCCAATTGTCATGTTGTGATTGGATCCAACAAATCCTCCTCCATGCCATGAAATGGAGGGCTTTGCATCAACATGTGGATAGGATGCGGTCCCCTTCCATTTTAGGGTCTGATTGTTACTCTACGCAGCCCAGAGGGGCTCCAATCCACAAAGGAAAACTGTTCCTAAGTTTGTTGGTGGTAGGGTAACCACTATAACAGTCTTGCCAATTAATTTCTTCCTCGGTGGGGCGTCATTGACAAGACTTTTTATATAATGGCGTAGTGGGGTGTCTTAGTAAAGTTACATTTTCTGTATCTCTCCCCAGAGCAAGTATGTTGGCATGTTCTTTCATCTGTTTACATCTTCCTCTACCTCTTTTTTCAGTGTCTGTAGTTTTCCGCATATAGGTCTTTTTATCTCCTTGATTAAGTTTATTCCCAGCTGTCTTAATTTTTTTGGTGCGATGGTAAATGGGATTGCTTTTTTAGTCTCTCTTTCTGTAAGTTCACTGTTGCTATATAGAAATGCCATAGATTTCTTGGCGTTAATTTTGTATCCTGCTACATTGCCAAATTCATTTTAATAAGTCTGTTAGTTTTTTGATGGAATCTTTCGGTTTTTTTATGTACAATATCATGTCATCTGCAAATAAGGATAACTTTACTTCTTCTTTTCCAATTTGGATGCCTTTTATTTCTTCTTCTTGTCTGATCACAATGGCTAAAACTTCCAGTACTATGTCAAACAGGCGTGGCGAGAGTGGACATCCCTGTCTTATCCCTGTTATTAAGGGAAATGGTTTTGGATTTTGCCCATTGAGTATGATGTTTGCTGTGGGTTTATCATATATAGCTTTTATTGTGTTGAGGTGTGATCATTCTATTCCAACCTTATTGAGAGTTTTTATCAAGAAAGGGTGTTGGCTTTTGTCAAATGCTTTTTCTGCCTCAATTGATATGACTATGTAATTTTTATCTTTCAATTTGTTTATGTGATGTATCACATTTATTGATTTGCAGATATTATACC